AAAAATAGTAAAATGTATATAATAACGTAGACGATCGAGCGCGCGCGAAGGCCTCGTGCCGACTACTCGCGTTAGAGAGTATACGCGCCAAGGTACACCCCAGCTCTTCGCGCGCGAGTATACTATATACATAAGGCCCCTCTTTGCTTCCTCTCTCTCCTGTGTGTGTATGCATGTATGTACATTTTTATGTAACAAACACACACGCACAAGCATGTGCGTAAGGCTTATCAGTTATCTCTTCTTCAACTTCGGTGCTCTCTCGCGCTTATATAAAAGCTGCTCTTTGTGCGCGCGTCTTTTTTTTTTTTTTTTTTCGTCATCCGATCGCGCGCCGATTTATTTGTTATATCGATACCACATATACTACATGTACTCGAGGCTTTTCTTGTGCGTTGACGTATGATATGCATATGAAAAAAAAAAGGTCGTGATTAGTAATTTGCTTTTTTTTTTTCTATTTTATACTCGCAGAGCGATCGATTCGTGCGGGCAAAATATTATTGTGACGGTGATTAATCGACCTTCGGACTCGCTCGCGGTGCGAGAAAATTCCATTTTTTTTTTTTTTTTCGTCTTTATCTTCTTCTTCCTATGTATACACGCGGCGATCGAAGCGATTACGTTCTCGCGATTAGCGGATTATGCGTTTGCTGTAAACGCAGGGAGCTTCCAAGTGGGATTTTTTTTTTTTTTTCTTTTTTTTTTTTTTTTTTCTTTCCTTCATTCGTCATTGAAATAATGTGTATGTCAATAATTGTTTCTTGGGTTTTTTTTTTTTTTTTTTTCAAGGAAGAAAAAAAAAACAATGGTACTTTGTTAAATAATTACTGTAAAAGCACTTTATTATTTATTACTATGTCAACAACAAAACTCATTTACCGAGCAAGAGAGTTATTTCACGCTCAAGTTGTCGTGAGTTTATAATTATACGTTGGGGAAGCCAACAACACAAATATTAAACAGCACGCACTCTCACTCAATGTTACGTATATGTATTATACTAAACTTTTGTTAAAAAAACTATTTTGACGGATGAATCTGACCGAAACAAGCGATTGTATGTTACTCGCGCGACAAATTGTAAAAATTGATTTAAAAACGTTATTCATATGTAAATATGTTACACACTATATGGCAATAGAAATCTTTAAATTGTAAAAATGTCGAGCCGCGTCCTTTACTTTCATGATGATGCCGTCGTGGTGGTAGGTGCCCTCTTGGAGGTGAAATCGTGCATGCGGCGTAGTCGTTTCTTGAGCTCGGTCGGGAACTTGTCGTAACACTTTTTGCAAGCGGGCCGCAGATCGAATTCGAAAAATTTCGTCTTCTGGTTCATCTTTTGGTCGCAGAAGGCACAGGCAAAGTGGTGGACGCACCAGGCCTTGTTCAACGCGGTGAAAACTAAAAAAAAAAAAAAAACCCCAATCAAACCTATACACATAAGGACGAAAAAAAGGGAAAAAAAGAAATGATTAAACTTACCATCCCCAGCGATGACCTGATTGCACACGTAACAAAGATTCCCAAACAACTGGTGGTAGTGAGTCTCGCAGTAGGCGAGGCCCTTTTTCTCGTAATGCCGATGCCCCAAGAAGGGCCTTTCACACTTGGCGCAGACGAAATGCTCCACGTGCCAGTGTTTTCCAAGAGCAGTGACCACCCGCTCCTCGATCGGTCGACGACAAGCTCCGCAGATCGGTATGCCCATCTTGTCGTGGCACCTCAGGCAATACAGCTCGTTCTGTCAAACAGGAATCAAGATACATCGAGACATATTTTAATTTATGGATGCGCGTGTGGTGTTTAGCCAGTACCAATTCGTTGGCCGCGTATCCGGCTCTCGAGCGGACTTCCCTCGCGTCGGAGTTGAGCTCGACCCCGCAGGTGGTGCAACTGAAGTGGTAAGGATGGTAGACCTCGTTGCGGAACCGCAGCGGTTTGTCGTCGATGACGCCACTGAAAACCACACAATGTTTGAATATATTTTCTTTGGTGAGTAAAAAAAAAAAAAAAAAAAAAAAAAAAAAAGAAAAAAAATATAGGTATCCTTACTGGCACTGGTAACAGATGTGCTTTCCCAGCACGCCGGCCTTGACTCTGGCGTTGCACTCGTGACAGAGAGCTCTGCCTTGGCACTTGATGAATCCAGCATCGGCCAATTCGCCGTTGCACTCCTCGCACCTGAAGCACCCCGGGTGCCAGTTGGCGTTCATGGCTTTGATGACTCTCCCAATGATGAACTCCCCGCACTTTCCACAGCAAGGGGCAAAGAGAACGTGAAAGTCGTGCTCGCAGTACTTCCTTCCCTCGAACTCGTAGAAGGTTCCATCTGGAAATGGTCTGAAGCACTGGGCACAGCTGGAAAATCAATCGAGCGTCACTTTGATGTTTCATATGTGTCCGGAACAAATTGAAACGTGGTTTGAAAAAATGCAGACTCACACGAAGCACGAGGGGTGCCACAGTTCTCCGTTGGAATTGACTATTTTCTCGTTTGGCTCGAAGCCTTCTCGGCATCTCGAGCAGAACATGTGATCCAGTGACATGTTGAAGCTTATGTTTTTGATTACTCTTTTTAAAAACAAAAATATTCAATCAGTTACGATAGGTGTATGAGTAAAATGTTCGAAAAAAAAAAAAATCATCAAACGCAGCTGTTTGTTATAATGCAGTCTGAAAAGCCCGCATGACATATGTATGTTTAGAAAAATTAAAAACAAACATTCAGCCAAAAATGAGTGCAAGTAATACCCAGCAGGCTCGTTAGCATGATTTTTAGTTCTATTATCGCTTCCATGGTAATTTTTGTAACTTCTAGCAGGAATAGGTGGTTCATGATCGTCAACAATCACATTCCAATTCAACTCCTCGTAATCAAAGGAACGTGCGTTATCAGTTACCAAATTTTCTGGTGGTTCACGGCTAGCCGTGTTGTCCTTGGAACTGGTTACGCGTCTGTTGTACAAACTGCTCTTACTCAACGAGAGCAGTGACATGGATTGGGGAAAAGGAGCTATTCTAGGAGTATCAGTCATGTTTCTGATCAACACTGACGTTTAATAAAGTCAACTTGGAGATATATAAGTACTGATAAAAGCTATCTAGCTATGATAAAGCCAGACATAGATAACAGAGCCATCAAGTTGTCTTGTTGCAAAGGACTCATCACCACCTGATTTGCAATGCACACAAAATAAACGTCAAAGTTAAATACTCCCCCCTAAACAACTTGGCAGCAGCTGCTATTGGGTGTATCAGGTAGACACACTAACATATAAGCATTAATCGTCGCACTACTTAGTTATAAATTAACGCACACGCGTGTCGAGAATGTATTAGTTGGTGATAAATAAATAATACATAGATGGGAGGGAGGAGAAAAAAAAAACAATTTTAAACGCGCTTGCAGGTGCACTGAAAACAATATGATGTAAAAGGCTCTGTTATGATAAAGAGTGTGTGAGTCAGCACCAAAAATAGAAACTTGAAAAAAAAAAAAGGAAGAAACTGCGGCTGCCTGTTGTAATGTAAGTATGCTTACCCCGGCATACTGATAGATTAAATATGTAGGTACGCTCCAAAAATGCTTTGGGTTGACAATCGGCCAAGTTTATAAATCGATTTTATGGAGACCTGTAGATTGCTTCCCTCTACTTTCCGTCCACAAAGATATATCGTCTCGGCTGTACAGTGTGTATAAATACAAGAATAAGAAAAGGTATCGCCAAACGTCTACGTACAACGGAATACTAAGTTTGTATAAAACGTCGGCTGGGCGTGGAGAGAAAGCTGAAGTAACCGAGAGAGATCCTTACCGTAAATGACGTTTGGTATTTTGCAAAGGCCTCCACTTTGTTTATTTTCCTCCTCCAAATCCTTGTTGTGAGCTCGGTCGTATAGATATATTTGTACGAACAACACGCCCTCGCACTATACCGATTTCATTAACGAAAGCGTTATACCGTGCCCACGTATGCAATACCTATCCCACTACTGTACTGAACTATTTGTCTCTCCGATGATGGCTTGTGTAAGTAAGTAAGGCAAGCAAGCAAGAAGAAGAGTAGTGCGTGGAGAGAGAAATACATGAGAACGAAGCGCGCTGTTGACCAATCGCCGCTTGGAATTCTACTGTGCCCTTTTTGAGAGAACCACATAGCGTAATATATACCGCAAGAACGCAACGACACCGCTATTTTCCATTGACAGCATTATAAAAATATACGAGGAACCAATTTTTTTTTTTTTTTAAAAAAACTTAAGGAATTTCCTCCTTTTTTTTTTTAGTACATACTCGCTTATAGTGTTAACTATAGTTTTTGCTAATGATTTTAAAATAGAAATGAAGTTTTTATTGTTATTGTGCAGTTAAAACAAAAAAACGGGAGGCGAGCTTTTTTTCTCGTAAAAAGAGAGAAAAAACAAAAGACTTTTATCAACACTAATCAACAGATTATATCATTACACGATGAATTTACACATGTACATACAATGTGGTTAAACAGGTCTACTTTTTTTCAACAGATTTGCGTGGAGTTTTCGATAAAGTTTCTCGACAATCTCTTAGAAATACTGAATATACACGTCATTCTCGCAATGTATATAATTACAGAACTCAAGTACACTTAAAGCTAAGACTGTACCCTTGCCAGAGACATGATGGAATGAACATTCGAAACTCAACAAAGATATGTCTCTTGAGGGTGTTATAAATACAGAAAAATTTCGATCTACCAACATTTTCATTCACCTTCGTGGTTTCTACCTCACTTTGTAATTATGTATTTTTGTGTCTCGTTTTTTTTTTACCATAACATGATTGATGCATATTTACATCAAATTGCTTTCCATGAGATCAATTAACAAATCCCGCGAAAACAATTTGAAAAAATTTCACGTCGGATTAGAAATGTTTTAAGTTAGCGTCCCTCATGTATTGCTTTGAAAGTTTAATTATCTTTCTTCATTCTGTTGGAAGTCATTCTGTAGATGATTGAATCACGACCTGGATCCATCTCGGCAATGAAAACTGAAACACAATTTTTCGTTTTAATGCACAATTTATAGCAGAAAAATTTTTCATTAAGTACTCACTGCAAATCGCGAGAAGGGAGAACAAGAATATAACCATGAACCAAAGGATGATGTTGAAAATAACAGGGAAATCTTCTGAGTATTGTTCAGCCAAGTTCTCATTGTAAGACTGGAAAAATTACGAGCCATTGTAAAATAATTCACTTTGTGGGAAAAAAAAAAACAAATCAAATTTACAGTAGCTTTTACAAAATCAAATACACCTATGTATATTACATAATAACAGCCTGAACTCAAATAAAAACTACACAACTATTTCAAGCACAGCAAACTCATAAACAAATTTGTAATTGAGTACATTATCATGTCAGGTTTTTTTTTTACAAATCAATAAGGTCAGTATACATAAAAACTACGATACTATAAGCTGATTTATGGTCGCTCGAATTTTATTTTTACCTCTGAGGATTCATTGTAATAGTATGTAAAATCATTGTCATCTATGCTTGACAAAGTGTTTTCAGTTTGTGTGGCATTATCAGTGTGTTCATTTGTATTGTTTCCATTCTCATCCTCAGTGTGTTTGCCATTATGGGTTTTGTTTTCCCTATTTTTCTATTTTTAAAAATATTTTAGTAATTTTTATTAGTTTAAAAAGTAACAAGCTAATCCATGCGTTTTAAACTTCACACTCACATCATATTTATGAAATTGATTTATAAAGCTTACATATCATGCAAACGATTTAACATAAAAAAAAATTTTTAACTCTCAGAAATAGAACACAACGTTGATAAACAAATCTACATTCATCATAGAACGTGGAAAATTTTCAATAAACAAATTATACTTCTAATTTATTGAAAAAAAAAAAAAAAAAAAAAACTAAAATTCAATTGCAGCTACACTTTAATACCTCAGACTTTTCTCCTGTATACTCTTCTTCATTTATTTTACTTGGAGCACCAGTGCTCATTTCCTCTTTATTTGCATTTGATTCCTCCTGAATCCGCAATTTTGAGGTTTAAAAAAATTATTTAGTAGATTTGGATTGATTGACTTGGTACTTACTTCCTTCTTCTGTCCATCTGATGTTATTGGAACATCTCTCTTTCTCCTTACATTGGATGAGTGGACGTGATTTGTAAAGGCAGTAATCAAAACCTAAATTTAAAACAAACTACGTTATAATAGAAAAAAAAAAAATAAAACACAATTAGTCACCCAAAATACTCACGCTATCATCATAAACATCCCTAAAAACTTTGCTGAGAGCTTGAAGAGTTTCATCCAACAGAGTAATAGCTTCTTTGGCTTTTTCGGAATCGCTGCCATACATGTCAACCACTGGTTTGAGGCCCGAAACAACAAACCAGTAAAGATCAGCACTGACATCAACTTTGTCCTTTGTTTTAATTTTGTCAGCTATGGCATGAAGCAGCTGCAGTTCTTCCAGGAATTTTTCATCAGCTTTGACCGTCAGATTTAAAGCTTTTGGATGCAACTGATTGGGTGGATTTGGCTTGAGTTCTCCAAGGGCTGATTGACCCAACTTAAGTGAAAATGCTCAGTACAATGCTTCTCTCACCCACCACTTGTTACATTGAATGATAAAGTTGCAAAAACTTACAACACCAACACCATCGTTGAGATTGAGCCTGACTTGGTAATTATTCCCCTTTTCGAGCCTCTTGCTCAAAGCTTGCCAGGTGTACTCCTCATTTTCGTATTGAGGTTTCAGGTGGAACTTCTTGCCATGAATGCCCTCCAAAGAATCGACACCATCAACGACGACAGCAACCGCAGCGTTGGGCAGCTTTGACAGAACCTTGTAGCTCAGACCATCCCATTCGATCTTTAATAAAATATAATTGACAAATCGAGCATCTGATACATACTGGAGCGAGTACAACTGTCATTGCAAATAAATACCCCGTAGGCAGGATACGAAAGCGCCGCAGCCAGCACCTCTTTAACTTCGCTCTGGTTGAGCTTATTTTTACTCTCGAAACGCACGTTATCCGGGGCGTACAGAACCACGAAAGTCCCAGTTGCTCGTGCTGAAATCAACGCCCAAGAGAACCATTAACAAAAACACCTCCAACTGGCACTCTCTCTGGGTGTATGGTGCAACTCTGCAGTTTAGGTAGTGATTTATCAAACAAACTCACCACAAACGACGAGGGCAGCCAGGGCCCACAGCAGCTTGAAGTACAGCATCCTGACGAAGCGTCCTTCGGGTGGCAAAGAACTCCAGAGGGAAACAAGCAAAACAGCCTCCCTAACCCGGTCGCCCGAACGCGATCATATGACACTTCGTAGACGTGTGGGCCACGAACAATCCAGCTCCTTCACAGACTGGCGTCGCGACTCTGGTTTTCCCGATCAGCCGAACGAGCGCCATCTCACCCGGGTCCTTTAAATATGTTTGTAAACAACGGGCCCGAAAATGCCACCATGCAGCCACGGGCTTTTGTTTACTTTTGCGCTCGAGGTGGCTTTTCGCGAGCGAATTAAAAGTCCGATCAGGTAAAAAAAATCTACATTCGGAAGATGGGAGAACCTCGATTGGACGACGAAACTGTTTTACTGACGGAGCGAGATCGGCGTGCTCGAGATTTGTACAAGCGAGTGGGCCGTCTGTGTCGCCCAGGGCGAACGCAAAAGGTAGAGAACTCGTGACCGCACGACGGATGGACACAGAACGCGGAAGAGAAGAGGGGTGTGTGTGTGCAGTACGATTGTGTACAGACGACAGCCAGCCGCCTGATCGATCCTCTGCTACGAGGAGGAGAAGGAGGAAGTTAAAGGGCCCTTATACATCTTTCTCTCGGCGTTCTGCGCTTGCTTGCCCGACAGACACGCGCAGTGGATCCTCCTCTACGAGAAGAGAGGACGGAAGAGAGTGTGTGTGTGTGTGTGTGCTAGTGTTGTGGGGACAAAAGGTTTGTCAAGTGCTGGGCACATTAGGAGACACTTCGTCGAGCGTCCGCTGCAGTTCCACCAGGTGCTGCAGCTGTTTTTCACACCCCCGTTGAACGAGGAAGGATAAGCCCTGCATGTCGGCGGCTTTGGAGTCGGTGCTCGAGGCCACGATGGGTTCGTTATTCAGGAGCGAGGAGATGACCCTTTGCCAGCTCTTCCTTCAGAGCGAGGCGGCCTACGCCTGCGTCTCTGAGCTGGGAGAGCTCGGGCTGGTCCAGTTCAGGGATGTGAGTCACCTCTTTTGATTTTCTTATCTCTCTCTCTCCTCCCCCCTTGGAGTTTGTCTCTTTGAAATTCATTTCCCCTGACCTTGAAAACATTCCTTGCGTGATTTTTTTTTCCTATTCCCATAGTGTCATGTATTATTGGAGATCTTTTGGTATGTCAATCTCTGTGCATGCACATCTGTGGCTCTACATCTGCCAACTGATTGATATTTAGATTGAATTGACACCTTTTCTTTGACTATGTGAAAAGTACTTGTGTCAACAAATGCTTGTAATCTATCACGCGTTCGCAGTTAAATCCGGACGTAAATGCCTTCCAACGCAAATTCGTCAACGAGGTACGTAGGTGCGATGAGATGGAAAGAAAGCTGCGTTACCTGGAGAAGGAGATCAAAAAGGATGGCATACCAATGCTGGACACTGGTGAGAATCCCGAGGCTCCTCAGCCCAGGGAGATGATAGATCTGGAGGCCACCTTCGAAAAGTTGGAGAACGAGCTGCGCGAAGTCAACCAGAACGCGGAGGCATTGAAGAGAAATTTCCTCGAGCTCACCGAGCTCAAACACATTCTTCGAAAGACTCAGGTTTTCTTCGACGAGGTAAGAAATTGACGTTGTTCTCTGGTTTTACAATGAGAGTGAGACTCACTAGATTTAATTAATATCGATTTTTAACGTTAAAAACTCAAAAGTTGAAAAATTTCCGAAATCAGAAGTGTTTTTTTTACCTACTTACTATCAATTTATGATTTCGATTTCTGAAATTTTTCGAGCTTTCCTTTAATACAACGAGTGAGATTGATTGGACATTTAACAAGGAATGAAACTAATTGATGCCATTTTATTATGATAAGCAGCTGGTCAATTATTGATATGATAATGCTACGAGCATAAAAAGCTAACTGAATGAAATAATTGAATGAAGTGGTGTATTGCATAAAAAAAGAAAAAAGTTCAACGAATTTGTTCTCATCGTTTAGTTAAACAACTGCAAGCACTTGCCAAAATTTGCGAATGCTCAGGATCTTTGAAAATAAACCAAGCAGCCAAACGTTCGCATGAAGATTTTTGATCACATATTTTTCAAACGAATAAATAATTTTTTTTTTTTGCTCTTACCAACCAATGCATGAGCATACTTGCGAAAGAAATGCATTCTCTTGTATCTATTTCATACATTTGTAGTATAGAATTCGCGATTCACCGATTCGGATTAAATTGCAAACAAACGAAAAGACATAAAGGGTTATTAACGATAAAGCAGTCAAGCCCCCATTCGGTTTGAGATATCAGTGAAATAGAGCCGATAAATTTAGCTCACGTATTGAACAAAAATAGAAATGACACAAGCTGCTTTGACATAAGAAAAGTAAATGACAAAAAAAATCCTGGCACCGTGTGTATACCTTTGAAATTTAAAAAAAAAATTTTTTTTTTTTATCAGTAAACCTTTCTTTTCATGTAACTAATAATGTTGTTGAGTATAATGTTTTTAGGATATTTTCAAATTAAAACATAATTTTGCATTCTCTAACGAGAGTTATTGTTGTCAACTAACAAAGTCGCAAGTTCTGCGACTGACACAACTCACAACGGATCTGCCCTGTCTCCAGACGCGTTACGTTTGATAATCTTCGCTACAAGTGCTCCTCGAGGTTGACAATTATTATTTTTTTTTTGTTAAAAAAACTTTCAAAAGGTAACAAAAATAAAAGAAAAAAAAAAAAAAAACCTGTATTTTGATCCATCGAAACAACAACCTCCCTACTTTGGTTTTTTACTTTATTTACGTATTATTTGTCCATGTAATCATTCTTTAATTTATTTTCTCCTCTGCAAACGTAGATTAGAGTACTGAAACAAACAACAAAAAAAAAAAAAAAGAAAAGAGTTTTGGACACTTGTAAATTTCAGCATGCTTTGTTTCGCTTGTCTATACTTTTTTTTCTCAAAAAGTGTCGATCGACTTTTTGCGCTCATTTATACCCGCACACTCGTCGATGATAATCACAGAGTGAGTTTAGAAAAAAAAAAGCCTCTGCTCAATTCTATTTTAACATCACTTCATTAAGTTGGTTACTCAACGTATTTTGTTCACCTTCAATGCCTTGGCATTTTCGTCTCGCATGTCTGTGCACTTTTATTTTTCATACACGTAACACACGATTCAGCTTACACACATACACACTAATGTTAAATAACTCAACCGGACACAAATTAACATGCATAATCTTTGATTTTCCGTTCTGTCGCACACGTGTGTGTTGTACTACACGTATTGTTTTAACGGGTCCTTTTTCACTCTGTGCTGGTAAAGAGATGTATTACGAGGATGACTAATCGACGCTGATGATTGTAACAATAGTACTGCTTGTACCTTTTTTTTTTTACATTAATTCGGCTACTGGTGGCTTGAATAGAGTTACGCTATATTAATAAAATAATGGCCAACGATTAATTTCTTTTTTGATTTTCCTCATTTTAATTTTTAACCCAGCAAATAAATGTATGAAAAAAAAAAAAAAAAAAAAAAACTAATCAATCCCACACTTTGCATGCCTTTGAAAATCGCACCTTGTGTATATTTACAATTTGATTTATTACTTGTGTATTTAATATTATTAATAAAACGAAAACAAGTGACGTTTAAAAGAATACTTATATTAAAAATCAGTGCTTCGTTGCAAATTAGTTTAAACCTCGCTTGTGACGATTTTTATTTGTACGTATTAGTTTTAATATAGATGTGATTTTAACAATTGCTCCACTACCAATCTAATAAAAAAAAACCTTATACACCCTTTACTTTTTACACATTTATGTTTCAATTTTAATCCAAATATCCTTGCTGCCTACAGTACCACTGACGAGGAGGAGTCTCGAGAATTTTGTTAAAAAAAAAAAAAAAAGATTTATCGATCATCGATATGATCTCTCTTGCGCAAATACTCGCGTTTGTCCGGATCTCATATCATCGTGTCCTTCTCGTGGGTGGTACTAGGGGGAACCCCTTTATACCCTCGACATTGAAAAAAAAAAGTAAGGGCATTGCTGGTATAGACCTACTAAATGTACGTGTGTACAGAAAAAAAAAAAAAAAAAAAAAAAAAAAAAAAGAAAAAAGGTAAATAAACGATAAGAGACAGGGCAGAGGCGGATAGGTGTGACGTGTGTCTGTTGGCAGGCTGAGCATGGAAGTGTCGTGTCGCAGATGGCGGATCCAAGCCGCGAGGAAGAGCAGGTGACACTGCTGGGCGAGGAGGGCCTCCGCGCTGGCGGCCAGGCTCTCAAGCTCGGGTAAATTTGCATTAACAAAATCTTCTCCCAACTACCTCTCTCTTTGTACATTGTTTTTCTCCCCCCCCCCCTTCCAAATCAATCCGAAATTCCATCTCCTCTTGCACTTGTTATCATCGGGTTTTCCACTTTTTTTTTTTTGTGTATCTATTTTTTTTTTTACGAGGTTTTGTAAATTCTTCAAACTTTACTTTTTTTAACTAAGGTTGCATTTTATTTTTATTTTGTTTTATTGTTATTTAAAGATGTTCGGGTACCAAAAAAAAAAAAAAAAAAAAAAATATCATTCACTGTCCTCGAAAAAAAAATATGGCTTTCAATTACATCCAAAAACATCCTGCGTCAATTTAATGTATGAACAAGTCTCTGTGCTCCCGACAATGAATTTGGACCTGCACTGCGTTGGCAATGTTTTCTCTCTCGAGGCTATATTTATGTAAATGTTCGCTGCCTCCTCCCTCTTTTCCCCCGTCGAAAACTTTTGTACATTTTTAACTACGTTTTTTTGCGAGACTGTGCCATTAGGTGTAGCTGATCGAGGGATGAACAAAAAAAATTAATGACGCGATTTGATTGTTTTTTTTTTTTTTTTCCAAAATTTTTATTGTTCATCTTTTCGAGTTTTCATAAGCAAAGGGCTGTGCAATCTGCGAAAGCTTCATAAGTATATCGTTTTAAACGGAGTCGGTTTTTAGATTTGAAAATTTCAACCGAAATATTTTAAATATTCATCTTTTGTCATACATGACTCTTGTTTTTTTTTTTTTAACCGACTCTCTTTAACGGTGTACAAAATACGCAGCTGAAAATGTTTTTTTTTTTTTTTTTCCAAAGCCACATAGAGTAGAAGCAAAAAATGTATTTATTTATTGGCCGTCACGTTTTCTACCTATTTCATATTTAAAATTTTTGTTTTTTTTCAATGAAAAGAAAAAAATCCATTCAATTCCCAAAAAAAAAAAAAGTCATATTGAAGGGTAGAAAAAGATCTCGGTCAGCTTGTAGATAAAAAAAAAAAAAAAGGAAAAATCTCGCTACAAGCCAAGTTTGTATTCTGTGGGTTACAGCACCTGTACACCATCACAGAGACCCTCGGATCGCACTATAGGAATCCCCTAAGGCAAGCTGTTATCAACCGTTATTAGCGTTTTATTTTGCCAACTCTATTAATACAATATACAATTAATGTATGTGTCTCCAACTATTATTTTCTAAAAAAAGAATTTTTTCATTTTTTTTTATTNTTCAGACTAGCGTTTAAATGGGACCATTTACTTGCACGCATGAAAATGTAGGCATGTGTACGTACATGTATGTGCTCGTGTACGTGCCAGTGAACAGTTCATCACAATTTAGTATGACTGTTGTTAAAACATGTTAAAACATTTAGTTACTTTTAATATTATTATTATTTTCAATTGTGTTCTTTCTTGCCTTGCTGTGCCGCGTGTCGCTCCCGAAGGGGCTGTATTTCGATTTCAATTGATTTCAAGGAATAAACAATCCTCACGAGAAATCGAAAAGCCCCACCTCCTGGAGAAAAAAAAAAAGACACGACTGTTTGCTTTTTTCGTCCGTAACAACAAGCCGATATAATCATGACATCAGTATACTCATCTCGCGCTCGTTGTTTTCTTCTTCTCTCTTTCTTTTTTCTTTTGTGCTCTGAAACGCATATTTTCATGTGTAACAAAAACAAAAAACAAAAAAAAATTGAATTCTCCTTCTTTTGCAAAGGTACTTTGTCTTGTTGGTCAATTTTTGTTTTTGTTCTCGCATAATTACACGGTGTATAACAGTTGATACAGTTTTCAAGCGTTTCAAACTGTATCGAGTTGAAAAGTTCAAAGAGAACTGGACTATATGTTTTTTTTTTTTAATCCCTTCCTATTTATTTTTGACAAATAAAAACTGACTACCAGCTTCACACAAATTTTACAAAGGACGGCTCTTTTGTCGTTTGGACATGTGAACTAATACCGATACTTTTTTACAATTTTTTTTTTTTATCATCACACGTGTTTTTATGTTGAGGCAATAAACTGATAATATTTTTCTCTGGACAAAACCCCACAGCTTACACGGCCATTCAAGTTTTTTGTACACTCATTACATAGTTGGTAGATTTTTAAAAAGTAGTTCTTTATAACTATCGTGTGAATAAAAAATGATGATGATGATGGTGTGGCCATGGGTATGTATAGTACAATAGTAATAGAATAACGTAGTCTTTTACCTTAGCAAACGGAATTTCTTGACACCTTTTTACTTTCACTTTCATTTGTGTGTTTCGCATCATGATAAATTTTCATTGTTCGTCTCATTTAAATGTTACTTCGTGTTTGTTTATGTCAACACCGTATACTTGGCTTGATTTTTTAATGGCACTATCATTGGTTGAGTCGGTCAAAAGTCTGTTATGTCGATGTTGTGCTTATGTCAAATCGCTTTGCTTTTTTTTGTTGCACAATACGTAGTCGAAACACCTACTCGCACACTCGATTTACCACTCGTGATTAAGTCCCACGGGATGATCGAACAACGTCAGGTGAACAAAACATCAATTGAAACTTACAACATTAAATTTTACCTTTTACAGATAAAAACAAACAAAAGAAAAATAGAAATGGTACTTACAATGTCTTTCAGGTTTGAGAGCGAGCCGACGAGTCATTGTTATGATAACAATAACGATAACACACACGAGTGCCATAATGTTTTATTTTCAGATGTTTTACACGTACACGTATATTATTATACTATTATATTGTCATTATGTAGTTACGTTAAATAAGAATTGCCTAGTATAAATTGTTGTATAATTACTATTATTAACCCCCTTGGTAGTGCTCCTCTGATTATACGTGTGTTTATATATATATATATTTGGAACAATAATCACGTAGACATCTGACACGTAGTCATTAAATGTACATTAAAAAGCTCAATATATCGAGCCTTTGGTTTTCATAATACAGTTATTAATATGTGATTTCATAAACGTATTTTAACAAAGTCCGATGGCAATTCATATTTACATTGTGTGATAATGATTCTTTGAAAAATCCTCATGAGACGGAAAAAAGCGCAACCGATCATAAATATGAAAAACAAAATTGTGTTTGGGTTGCGTTGAATATTTTTTGTGATCGCGCGTTGCCAACCAAATGTTGATTACTAATTTTTTTTTTTTTTTTTTTTTTTTTGTAATTTGTTGTTGTTGAGAGTGTGTGCTAATGCGGTTTAATTTTTGTGTCTTGTCTGTTGTGTCGTCAGCAAGAGCACGCGGGCTTGAACTCCACCGAGTCCATGACACGCGCATTGATTAGTGACGATAATATCGCTCGCCAGACTGCCCTTGGTCCTGTCCAATTGGGGTACGTACAGCCGTTTCAGCCGTTCCGATGAGCGACGATCACGACGGCAATACTTTTTTTTTTTTTTTCATCCGTACTTCAGATATTAATTGTATTGTCATCTGGTCGTCGTCCTCCTCGTCGGGCACATACTTACCTACAACCAGACATTTTTACCTCTCGCACCTTCATTTGGATGCACTTGATTATTTTTCTTACCTTTTTTTTTTTTTTTCATTTTATTAAAGGGGTTCAATGATTTTTTTCAAAATGCAGAGAAAGCGGTAAAACTTTGAACAACAACTATTCAAAGTGTCAGGAAAATGTTTGAATTTTTTCGATATTTTTTTTCGATAAAATATTTTAAAAATCCACACAGTTTCCTGATGCTCTGAATAGTTATTTTTTAAAGTTTCACTGGCTTCTCTGCATATTTTGAGAAAATTATTGAACCTCTTGATGCTCAGAGAATAAAATGTAAAAGATACTGATGTTATGACTAACAATTCTCTGGGCGTTTTTGTCTTTTTAAAATCCTTAAAAAAAATTTTTTTTAAATTTATTCTCTATAAATGATTTTTACCTCCAGATAAACTGCATGAAGATCTTTGTTGAAAATTTTTTTCACCAATCATGTGATATCCATTAACACATATTGAGTCCTCGCTAACTACTCGCTCACAGTTTACCTTCTTCTGACCCTCGAAGCATATAATTAACTCAACACACAATAAATTTTTTTTATTTTTTTTTGTTCTTACGTACACCTATAATCCGCTTTTCTATCTCTGATTTCTAAGGACTTTGCAGAACCAAAAGTGTATACGAACTCACACAAAAGGCCAAGGTTTCAATGCGCGTGTGGCTTGGACGCTCCAAATAATGATAAAATAAAAATATACACTTTATCAATTTCTAGGGATTCCGTATGGAGTTATTTTTGCTGTTTTTTTTTTTTTTTTTCGTTACATTAACACGTTTGTTCTCTCACATTCGGATCAATATTTCCGTCCAGAAGCACATTGAAGGAATTTTTAACTTAGCGGATCAATCGCTTTGGTCAAGTGTTTTTATTTTTGTCTTACTGTAACACACGTGACTTGGGTTGTGCGTCAAGCAAACCGAAACAATCTGTTCTGGAAATAAAATTACATAAGATCAATTTTATCTGATACGTAATTTTTTTTTTTTTTTTTTTTTTTTTCATGCAGATATTATCTGCTGTGTTTGAATTGTTTCTCAATTCGTCGTACGTCAATACCTGTTTGCAAGATTTTTGTTTGACGTTCATAGGTATAAATAATTTTAAAAATTCCTTCAATGTGTTTTTTAACACCAAATTCAAGTTGTCGATCGAATTTGCATGAGTTTTTACGACTAAAAAGTCTTCGTAGCTTGAGACGATTTTTGATGTATTTTTAGTTGTCGTCGAATTAACAGTAAATTTAAAAATCATCCATAATTTTGGAATTTGTTGTTCAATCTGTGTGTCATGATACTGTTTTAGTTTTATTCTAGTTGGTTTATCTACACTTGATAATACAATTTTTTTTTTTTTTCTAATGCTTGGACCGTAATCCCAAGTAGAAGTTTTGATAACGTTTAATTTGTGCTTCTCGATTTAACAAAATATAATCATACCAAATAACGTAATTTAAGGGTAAGAATGCAGTTTTTGAGAGTATTTATAAAAAAAAATGTTTTTCTTCATCAAAGCTATGCATAAATTAATATAAACACAATAACGCATCAACACTGACATTTTCACGGAATGACTCGTAACAACGAAACAAATTAATATCTCTTACTTGCTTGAAAAGTGACGCAAGCGAGTCAAAGTAATCGTCATTTTACAATTAATACTGTAAAAAATCGAATCCATGCCTGATGTTTTGTCTTGCAACACATTATTTATACATACATACGTATAAAACCATACTCTGTTATCTTTCGAATTTGTATTACCTTCTGTCCATTAGTTAGAAAGACTATTGTTAAATATGTATTTGCTCGAAACACGTATTGTTGATTCATGTATTACTTACACGGAAAACTTTGTCAAGCGTCAAATGTTTCCATAATCGTATCGCACCATGAAGTCAAATGGAAAGATATATTGAAAAAATTAAATGAAAGTAATTTATCCCAAGGTACGTAACAAAAGTACGACCATGGCTACAAAAATCATCATTCGATGGCCCTTTACCATTGAAAAAAGAATATGTATACATTTTTCTCACTTGACTGGACGAGCTTCGATTTTTAGTAAATATTTTTTTTCTCCACACTAAAAATTTAAAACTAAAATCTGTACATACATTGCCCAATCAGCAGACTTGGGCAGACTTTTTTTTTAATGGATTTCCAAACACTTTGAAAGAAATCTTTATTTCATGAATAAAGTGTGGATTTTATGTGAAAAAATTGGCCACTCATCACTATTCACAATGTCATGCCAAGACAAATTTTATTTTTTTCCATGTCAAATAAGCGCAATCTGTTTCAGATAATAAAATATATAAATAACGAATAAAATTTTTAGCAAAAAATATTCTTGCCCAAGCCTGCCAATCGGGATTTTCAAACGAATTACGTAAGGGCTGAAACTAATACATCGACAGCTGTAAAAAACCGATCTTCTCTTTCTTCTCTTCTCAGGTTGGATGTAAATAATATCAGTGCTAATCGATACAGGTTGAAAAGTTGAGAATCTTGGCCACCCCAATAACAACAATAAAATTAATCTCACGCCCTTATAGCCTGTAAATAAATTAACCCAATAATGAGAGATACAAACCATCCACCACCACGAAAGTTTCGCAGTGTCAGTGATCCCGGTTGACTTTTATCTCTCTCTCTCTCTCTCTCTCTTGCTTTCTCTCTCTGAAATTGGTTCTAACGATGAATTATTAACCACCTTCCCTTCGTTGGTACAACGGTAGGACCCTTTTCCACCCCATCCCAATATACTACAAAGTAATACAATAATCTCTCCCTCACCTCTATGGACATTAACAGTAAAGTGTACATATATATAAAAAGCTATATGAACGTCCCTGTGTTTCCCCCCTTTGATCACAAAATACCGCCAATTCGATAAACAATATCTAACCCGAGCGAAATATCTGTCCTGCGTCCCTTGTGTGCGTGTATACAGCTTCGTCGCCGGGGTGATTCTCCGGGAGAGGATTCCCGCGTTCGAGCGCATGCTGTGGCGGGCCTGTCGCGGCAACGTCTTCCTCCGACAAGCCGAGATCGAGACCCCACTCGAGGATCCATCCACGGTAACGTACACGCGTTTTCTCCCCCCCCCCCCTCCCCCCACGAAAGACCCGGCATTTGTTGATCCACCAACTTTGTGTCACACCGCAGGGCGACCAAGTGTTCAAGTCGGTCTTCATCATCTTCTTCCAAGGGGACCAGCTCAAAACACGGGTCAAGAAGATCTGCGAGGGATTCCGCGCCACCCTGTACCCGTGTCCCGAAGCACCGGCCGACCGGCGTGAGATGGCCATGGGCGTGATGACCCGCATCGAGGACCTCAATACCGTGAGTTTGAGGGTCTAATTTGATCCAAAAAGGTTTCCTAATTTTTGGTCTTTTGTTTTAGGTGCTCGGCCAGACCCAGGATCACCGGCACCGGGTACTGGTAGCTGCCGCCAAGAACATTAAGAACTGGTTCATCAAAGTGCGCAAAATCAAGGCCATCTATCACACGCTGAATCTCTTCAATCTGGACGTCACCCAAAAGTGCCTGATTGCCGAGTGTTGGGTGCCGGTGCTCGACATCGAGACCATACAGCAAGCACTGCGTCGAGGAACCGTGCGTTTATTTTTCTCTCTCTTTTTTTTTTTTTTTTTTTTTTACGGTATTTCAGGGGAATTTACCTAGGGGTGGTTTTACAGGAGCGCAGCGGTAGCTCCGTGCCACCGATTCTCAATCGAATGGAGACCTTCGAGGACCCGCCCACGTACAACCGTACCAACAAGTTCACCAAAGGCTTCCAGGCGCTGATCGACGCGTACGGGGTTGCCTCGTACCGCGAGATGAACCCCGCGCCCTACACCATCATCACTTTTCCCTTCCTGTTTGCCGTGATGTTCGGCGATTTAGGCCACGGCATGCTCATGTTCGCGTTCGCCGCGTGGATGGTCCTCAAGGAGAAGCCCCTGGCCGCCCAGAAGACGGACAACGAGATCTGGAACATCTTCTTCGGTGGGCGCTACATCATCTTCCTCATGGGTCTTTTCTCCATGTACACGGGCTTGATCTACAACGACGTGTTCTCCAAGTCGTTGAACTTGTTCGGCAGCCACTGGGAGATCAGGAATCTAACGTCTAAGGACGTGCTCGACAACGGTGTCCTGCCGATAAACCCGACCTGGGACTACGTCGGTCATCCGTATCCCTTCGGCATGGATCCCATCTGGCAGTTGGCCGAGAACAAGATCATCTTCCTCAACTCGTACAAGATGAAAATATCCATCATTTTTGGCATCATACACATGTTGTTCGGTGTCGTCGTCGGTCTCTTCAATCACCTGTACTTCAAGCGCAGGCTCAACATCATTTGCGAATTCATTCCGCAAATCCTGTTCCTCATTTTCCTCTTCTTCTACATGACCATACTCATGTTCATCAAGTGGATCAAGTATGCAGCACCTCATCCAATCAACAATCCCGACGTAACGACGAGCTCGTTCTGTGCGCCCTCGGTGCTCATTACTTTCATCAATATGGTGCTGTTCAAGAGTCCAGAGGAAAAAGACACCGAAGGTACGAAAAAGAATCCCTGCGATCCTTGGATGTACGGCGGACAGAACGGACTGCAGATGCTTCTCGTTCTGGTTGCTCTACTGTGTATACCTTGGATGCTGTTTGCCAAGCCTTTCATGATGATGCAGGAGAGAAAGAAGAAACACATGCAGGTGCGTTGCAAGATTGTGTTTTTTTTTTATTTCTTAATTACTCTAGTTTGATTTTTCAATACCGTTTATTTGTCATTAAAAGGATTTTTCGTGATTCACGCACAAGACATTTCAATCACTAAATATCCGCAAACGATATAATCATTTTATCCTTCTCAATTGTAAATATTTAATGTTTGCTTTTTGCTGTTCTGATTTCTCTCTGGCCAATGTAACCCATTTTGCTGGATATGAAAAAAAGGATGTATGTATCAAAATCGCAATTTCAAGTAGTGTCATAGTGTTTCTCTTTTGCGATTGAGTAAAAACAATAAAAAGTACTAATGTTGTAAAAAAAAAATTTGTAGTTGAATACTCATAACACGGAAAATGGAGACCTTGACGGCTCTGGAGCGGTACAGGCTCAAGGCCAGGTACAGGGTGGACACAAAGAGGAGGAAGAAGACATGGCCGAGGTGATGATTCACCAGGGCATCCACACTATCGAATACGTATTGGGAAGTGTTTCTCACACTGCCTCGTATTTGCGTCTCTGGGCTCTGTCTCTTGCTCACGCACGTAAGTTTTCATTGTACAGTATTTGACGAAAATAAATTTTTGCAAAACAAAGGCTGAATAATTAAACGAAAAATCCTTTTGCAGAACTGTCAGAGGTATTGTGGAACATGGTGTTGAGGAACGGATTAACTCAAGGAGGTGGGTTAGGAGGTATCATCCTTTGGGCTCTGTTTGCTTTCTGGGCAACTATGACTGTGGCTATTCTGGTACTCATGGAGGGACTGTCAGCTTTCCTTCACACTCTCAGGCTTCATTGGTAATTTTATCAACATTTTTTTTAACACTTGTCCATACAACGTGCTTAATAATCAACGAAATAATTTATCGTTACAGGGTTGAGTTCCAAAGCAAATTCTATCTTGGTCAAGGTTACAGTTTCACGCCCTTCTCCTTTGAAATTCTTCTGGAAACAGCACAAGCAACATCTGAGGCTGCAGATTAAACTTAAAGAAATGTAAATAGGCGTTTTCGTCTTCAAATTTGACTCTTGGATGATGTTCCGAGAAGCAAATTGTAATTGATGTTGAACTTAACAATGTACTTCTCTCTCTATTAAGATTGCTGTTATGTGTACATGCTCAAGAACGAAATCTTAAAACACCGTGTCGATGGTTGCTGATTGTATTTATTATTTTGTTTTGTACATAGTAAACTATGATTTGTGTAATTTTTCTTTTTTTTTTTTTTTTTATAAGAAAAAACATAAACATTTGAAAAGAGTAAAGAAATAAATCATCAAAATTTTATTTTATTGGAAATTCAGTGGAAAAAAAACAACTTCGAAACGTGATGATAGAATACAATTACTTTATGCGGGCATTTATATAATAATTTGCGACTGAACGAAATGACGTTTGGTTTGTTAAGAAAATTATGATTAAGCTGAGTTTTACATGTACATTGAATCTCGTGGTATTTTCGAATGCGCACAGTGTGATTTCTTTTATGTCGTAACTGATCTACTTATTTTTAACCTTTTTTTTTCTCTTCCAAAAATTATTCTCTGAATAATTAAATATGATCAAAATACACTTATGTAGAATTAAATAAAACAATGATTAACAATATTTGGATTTAAACATTTTTCCTTGCCTTAATAAATTGTAAAAATAAAAACAAGAAATATATCATACACCATCAAGTCACCCACGTTTTTAACTTAATATATATATTATCATAAATATAATATTAAATATCCGAGCATCAGTATCCCGCGCGCGTCGTCTGCTTCTTATCACGAGAAAAGTCTTCTGCTCTCTTATCAATGCAGTTCTAACCTCTATGTGAAAATGTATGCACAACAACAGAAAACATAAATATTACCTTCCGCAGATTCAAAATAGTCATGTCAATTCTAAGTGCAGTTATATCCTTGCCCGTAAGGACTTCGATGATTATTAGCAGTCAAATGAGGCAACGATTTTGTAGAAATTTTAGCAAAAGCTCCACCGTTTGTTTAAGATTTGATACACCTTTGTACAGTGCAGAAGCTTCGGTGAATAAAAAATATCCAAGGTAAAAAGTATTTCAATTAAAAAGCTAATTGCGTGGAAATTTGCTGCATTTTTTCATTTTTCACCAAGCAAAAACAATGCAGAGGTATGTACGAACTGTCGTAATAATACTCGATGTATATTTTGTACACAGCTATTACTACAAAAACAAAAAAAAGAAAAGAAGCAAAATTTATATAGTGATTGGGTTGTTTGGCGGCTACTGCATCATCGCGGCTTTGGGATTTTTGTACATGCATTTTCGCCAAGTAAGCACAGAACTTGATGAAAAGAAGAAAGAAAGAAAGAGACGCTCCAAGTTTGACAGGATTTTCACGCCAGAGGAGGTAGCTGCACATCCCACTTGGACCACGTACAAGGGTAAAGTGTACGATTTCAGTTATTATGCAGCTGGGCATCCCGGAGGTGAAGAAACGATCAAACAAGCTGGGGGCACTTCGTTGGAGCCATTCTGGGAGAAATTCAAGTTCCACAACAGCCCCGAAGTCCTGAAGGAACTTGAGACTCTAAAGATTGGTAAATTGGTTACTGATCACACTCAGCAGCCCAGGTGTAGAACTGCAAATAACAGTAAGTATCAATTTCGATCTGGACAACATTTTAGCATTTTACAAACAGTTGAAAAATGAAATTTCCAGCACCAGTATTGGATCCAAACAGCCACAGATTGGAACTGATATTTGACGAGGCGGACGAAAATTTTATGGAGCTCAACATGGAGCAACTGACGAGTTACCCCAAATACTCGATTGTAAGTTCGATACCGTGCAAAAAAGATTCTACAAAGACCGAAGCCCAGGATGCCCCGACGTGGTCAGGAACTCGTCTGATAGACATTATCACCGATTTAGGTAAACTCCTCGAATGCCGCACGTCTCCTCTGTACCTACCCCATTGATGATGAATCCCTTTGTTTTGCTAGACATAAAAATGAACGAGTACGAGAAAGTGCAATTCGAGTGCCTGGACAAAGACCAGGTAGGTATGGTCTATCGCACCAACGTGTCTGCGGAAAAAGCCAACAACCCTGGCTTCGACATTCTACTCGCCTACGAGATGAACGGCGCTGAAATACCGCTTGAGCACGGGTATCCGATCCGCGTCATCATTCCAGAGTACCCGGGCAGCAAGAACGTCAAGTGGCTGAGGCGAATAGTTTTCAAAAAGCGCCAGAAAATCGTATACACGTTGGGATCTTAATCGCTATATGGTGTTTATCGATTGTGTACTGTACAAAGCCAAGAATTTTATTTATTACACGTGTACTTGTAAGGTACTCCGGTACTCCTTGTTACACGGGCAGAGGTGTGTGTATAAATGATGAGATTTATTATTTTTTCGTAATAAATAGCTCTGTCGTCTGTTTATTCGTCTCACGAGAACAATCATTGTAATTACATTGATAAGCTAAAAAAAAAAAAAAAAGATCTTATCACCTATTACACTCGTATTCGTAATTAAGCTACGCAAAAATTTACACTTTATTATTGTTAAATCGCTAAAAATCAAACTAAATTGTATCAGAGCGTGGACGCCGATCCTCGAGGTTCTGACGTTGTCGTAGTGTTGGATGGCCGAGGAAACGGCAGGGCAGTTGCCGTGGTCGAGCGCAAACAAGCGCACAGGCAAAACGGGGCCTGACAGAAGCGACAAGGCCCAGCCGGCACGCCCATCATGAGGCTCCCCGCAATCGCTATGTTTCTGTAATTTAGGGAAAAATCAAAGGCTTTATTTTTTTATTTTTTTATTTTTTTGTTTGTTTACCAACTCGCACAAATTCATCAAACCGATCCAGCACATTGGATAAGTCCGGCGATTATCGTTTTCTATTGTTATATACTATTTTTACTCCTCTCCCGGTGTAAAAGGAAAATAACAAGATAAACGAAAAAGGGAGAATCTTCCCGGCACGCGAACCACCACTTACGAGGCGTAGGTATATACTTAATAGTAGCGGTGCTCGTTGCGGTTGGGGTTTATGTTTCACTTGCTGGAAATTACTTTTTAATTCCTCCAAATGGCCAAAAAATACAGTATATAATATATTTTTCAGCGATAACATGTAACGACAATTGTCATTACTTTTACAAAAATATATGGTTTTGTATGTATACTAGAGATCGCGTGTCGATGCTAAATAACATCGTGGCAATAAAGACGCGTCGTAAATTAGAGATGGCACGTAATACAATATCGGGATACAGGGATGCATCAAGAGGAACTTGATGAATCGTGAACGCCCCCGTGCATGCAAGCGCGGGTGGTGTGAGAACAAAAAAAAAAAAAAAAAAAAAAAAAAGATCATAATATGAGAGGTGATGAGGGGGAGGGGACGTCGATTGAGATGTGGAGCGTGTGTGTATAATGGTACACCTATCGATGGTGTGATGATGATGAGGCGCTCGCTCGTTACATAAGTACCGATCTCTTTTAACCCCCACATTGTACATTACGTGCACATATCACCCTCTAATGGGCACGGAGGTGAGGGAGCGAGCGATTATTATTTCAGTTTTACCGCTTTGCTGCATCTTTCTTTTATCTCTCTCTCTCTCTCTCGGCTAAAGCTGTGTATATATACATTTGTGTACTTCCTCCCTCTCCTCACCCCCTTTTATTTGGGTACTTTTATAAGCTTTGGGTTTCGATAAACGGGCTCAGCTGTGTTTTTCTAAAGTGGGCAAGTGGGGGACGTTGGACGGGCAGCTCGTGTATTTATTTACTAATGTGATTCTCTTGATTTCTCAATTTGGCCGCTATTGTGTGTGATATTGGAAGGGTAATAGAGTTTTCCGTTTCGAGAAACCCCCTCTTTTTTTTTTTTTTTTTTTTTTTTTTTTTTTTTTTTTTTTGTAATTTTAGTTTACCGATTTTCGTGGTTTAAAACGATTTATCAAAATTATACCTTTTTTTTCCTTATAATTATGAATTAAATGAATGTTTCGCGTTTATAGTGAATGAGTAGTGTTTCAATTTTTTTTATTTTCCACAGAGAAAATGAGAAAAAATCGGTAACAGCCATTTATGTGAAATTATTCAATCGCATAAAAAGCTAATTTTTGAATGAAAAAGAGTTTAAAATAGAGCAGACGTTTTTGCGTAGGGATAGAAAAAAAACGATCACGAGGGAGCTTACAATAAATAATTAACAACTCGCTCCCTCACCCACGCAGTAGCTGCAGGTCCCTCTCACACTCTCTCTCTCCAAAATCAAACTTTAATCATTTGATGGATGTTGATCATTTGCATAGATTTTTTTTTTTTTTCTTCATAAATAAGATACTTTATGTTTACCAAAAAAAAACTTCTTTTGCATCTCTGTTCGTAACAGAAAATGAAGAAAAATTTTATACAATACCTTTCACATGTTAAAGTAACTTGATATCGAATATTTAAATACTTTTTAAGATACTGCGACTTTTTCTTCTAAACTGCCTTTTCTTTCAACTTGAAGAGTACCGTTATTAGTAAAAAAAAAAAAAAAAAAAAAAAAATTCATATTAAAGCAATGTGTCGTTAAATAGTACTGAAAAAAAAAAGATTTTAAGAAACAGGAAAAAATGACAAAAGTATCCGTGCCCAAGTCTATACCGAGGATAAATACAAATGTAAAAAAAAAAAAAAAAAAAAAAACTACACCCACCTGAGCTGCTGGTCCATCTTGGCCTTCTCGAGCCGCTTGTCCTTGGCGCGCCGATTTTGAAACCAAATTTTAATCTGCGTCTCGCTGAGCTTCAGCCCCGCGGCCAATTCGAATCGCCGGCCCCGCGATATGTACTCGTTCTTCAGGTACTCGTCCTCGAGTCGTCTCGTTTGCTCGCTGCTGAACGTAGTCCGCTGTCGCCGGGGTTGGCCCTTTTTTTTCTCCCGTCGCTGCACTAAAATCACACACGCGTACTGTTGTTATTTTTTTTTTATTTTTTTCCTTCAGTAAAAAAAATCTCCGTATATCGGTATACCTTAAATAGAAAAAAAATAAAAAAGAAGAGGAGAGCAAAAGGGGGATATCGTTTTAAGGCTGCCCGCCGATGGGGATGGTGTCAGATTACGGAGGTGTCGTCTTTTGCGTATTTAGCGGAGGAACAGATTGGCCCCGGAAGCCCTCCGTGGGTGGACTTGTATATGTACAGGAAGGAACCCGCGCGTGTACAAGCATATCCGTATAATTACGGAGCCGTCGCTGTACATCCTAATTGTATCGATTATGCGTGTGCGATCTGGGATATTTTTTTTTTTTTTTTTTTTTTTTTTTTCATGCAGATATACATACGTGCCGCGTTTTTTTTCCTCGCTCCTTCGGGTCCTCTCTGCGCTTCTCGGTGTTGCGCGGCCTATTCCTCATCCCCCTTCTCTTCTCTTGCTTCTCCTCGAGACGTATGCTTACTTTGGGTTGCTTTTACACATACATATATACTATATATGCGTATATTGTACCTGCTTAGGTACACGCTCGAATGGCCGAAAGTGACTCGATAAATGGAAGTGTTTGTNAAAAATAACATTTATCACTGTTATTTATCAAACAAAAAAACCAGTACTAATTACAAATATATTATAATTTGAAAGAACAAAAAAAAAATTCAAATACAAAAAAACACTCGAAGCATTTAAATATTTAGTTGAAAATACTTTATTGACAATAAACTTTATTGTATAAATAATTATTGTACTTGTCTGTCAGAAAAAAAAAAAAACGATTCATCCCAATATTTTGTTGTACATGGTGGTGATGAACATAAAATTTTTCAATCGTAATTGAGAAGCTTCGCTTATCTTGGCTCCCTTGCCATGAAATTAAAATAAATAAACGTCGTTCATTTACTATGGTAAAAAAATTTTGCCGAAAAAGAATATACTTAAAAAAATTGTTTAAAAATCCAAAAAACAATTGTGCCAGAGCCTGAGTACTTGTATAAGCATAGCAAGTGAAAATTTGTAAAGTAATCCCTGTACGTGAGAAGGGTGTGAGATAAACACCCCACGAGTACCGCCACTTCAAAACGTATGTCCCCGTACACGACAAGTGTTGCGTGTGTTAAAAAAAAAAAAATAAACACATGCATACATCATACTTTTGTAAGTACATATTATTATGTATAGATGGGGATTAGGAGGCGTTTAAAAGTTCGGCCAGCCGAACAATCCCTTTAGCGCGACTTTTGTGCACACGCCCCCGATCTATCGCTCGCTCGCGCTCAAAAAGCCCACAATGCACGCGATACTCTTAAATCTCGACACAATCAGCTCAATTCAAGAGACGTGGATCGCTGATGCCACTTTTATTGCGTACTTATATTACCGCAAGTGTATATACATATATATTTTTTTTCTTTCTTAGGCCCCTTTGTAGAAGTTTATGTACATAATCTCGTGTAACTTTTTTTCCTTTATCAATAAAACAAAATATTACGAAAAACAAACGTGTACAGGTGTACATACACGAGACGTTTTCTTGCCCTTTGTGTACACATAAAGCAAAATATGTCACATACGAGATACATTTGTATATTATCTGATACAAATTTATTATTTTTTTTTTCGATTACGTATAAAAAAAAGTATTGCGAACAAAAAAAGTCACACATTTTCCGGGGGGGGGCAAGATGATTTTCGCATGACGACATTTTTGAGGCGAGGGACGAAGAGAAAAGGGGAAAAGATCGGTGTGTGTGTGTGTATACACCAAAGTGCCATTGAGACGCGGCCAACTGCGTTTCCGTAATCTCATCACAATATCGTCGTGATGTCCGCCAAAGCGGTGGCGCGCGCGAGAGAGGTGGCGAGCCGAGAGAGGATCAGCCCCGCCTCCTGTGGGTATATATATATATATACACATTATACGTGTCCTGTAGCTCGGTTTTGTACAACGCGCGTATACATGGGTTGGTTTACGAAAATTTTAAATTGTTCACGGTTTTTAGTGGCAAAAATCTTTTTTTTTTTTTTTTTTTCATAACGTCAAAAACATTTATGGCGTTTTGTCGTCGTTTATACATGGACAAGATGAGGCTACAATATGTCTTTGTTGATCCGATAAATGTACTTTACTTGTATATCTTTGGAAATGCCATTTCTTAACCATGACGCCACTTTCGTGGGGTAAAATGTTTCGTAATTGGTTTTCTTGCAGTTTTTAGGGGTCGAGTACTTTTAATATGATAAATTTTACAACAATGAAGAAGATACGAAAATCGTTTCGGTAAATATTTACGGTATTTATTGAATTTGCTGTATTTTTCAGGAAATGGCCCATATACATTTGCACCGCGCGAAGCAACGCCGTATTACAAGTGTATACACAATACGAGAGTAAAAAATCGTGGGGGCTTTTGTACGTCAATATTCATCTTTCGCGGGGAGAATACATATATGTTATAAAATCACCGCCCATTTCTTTTTCTTCTCGTGGCTCTAAAAAAAAATTTTATCTTGACGCGCTTGAGTACGTATAATCCTTGAAACTGACGAATTTCCTTTTTTTTTTTTTTTTTTTTCTTGTCGCGCGTGGATTTTTAACCCATTGCATGCATATTCCGCTAATATCGTAGGATAATTTAATCAAATAAACGTTTCCGCAAAAATTTCAACGAAGCTCCTCAATATATTATTCTAGTGGCAACTCATCACTTCATCACTTGCGTGATATTTTAATGCGATCGAAGAAAAATTGTTGGATATAAATCCTTAAAAGTGCCATTTTTTGTAACTTTTTCGCCAATTTTCAAGCCGATATTAAATATAATGAGAGCTGACCGATTTCTTTGAAATTTTCCACAAATCCATTGCCTACATATTTTTCTACATGTTGCATTATGAAAAAAAAAAAAAAATTAATGCACTTGAGTAACGCTAATTTTAACCACTCAATTGCTGGACAGTAATTTCTACTCCACAAATATCACGGTATAGTTACAATGAAAAAAAAAAAAAAATTGACTACTCGAAACATGAAAAACCATGTGAAAAAGTCTCTAGGTATTTTGGTTTACCATATTACTCTCTCGGTGCATTTTGTAAAAAACGGCCCTTATACACACAAAACGCCTTTTTTCAGACACAGCTCCAAAACGAGAAATAAAAAAAAATAAAGGGCCAACTCACAATACTCGGCGTATCCCTGGCAGTGCTGCTTGGCCCTGGGCTGCCCGTCGCCGGACTGCAGTAAATGCTCGAGCCTCAGAGGCGCCCAGTACGCCCCGTTGGCGCGTCCCGGCAAAAGCAACCGCTGCACCAGCGGCAACCTACCACCCGCACCGCGATCCTCGTCGTCGCTCGCGCACGTCACGTCCACCTCCTCGTCCTCGTTGTTGTTGTCGTCCTCCCCTTCGTTGCAGCTCGTTTCGTAGATACGCGCGAAAAACTCGCGCGGCAGCGACGGCCGCGTCTTTGTCCCCGGCGTAGCCGGTAATGGACTCGTCACGCACATCTTGGACATTATTCCCCCGCGCCCTTTTTTTTTCAAATGGCCCCTCTCGAAGGGATACTATTTCAACTTAGGGGCCATTTTCGCGAGGATACGAGTCTCGAAGGTCCGGTAGACCGCGCGGTTCATCTTTTTTTTTATTTTTTATTTTTATTTTTATTTTTATTTTGCGTTGTTACTTTAACAGAAAAGTCGGGAGCGTCACGGCGCCCACGGTAGCTCGAGTGCGTGTGGTGTCCGTTCGTCTTCTCCCGCGCGGGACAGGAAGGAAGCCCGAACCGCTGTATATACATATAGGTAGCGGGGGATGATGGTGATGACCAGGTCCCTCTCTCTCTCGTACACTTTATTTTATTTTTTTTCTTCTTTCTCTCATCCCTTTTCACTCGAATGTATACATGTATATATGTACGCTGCCGATCGCCTGGAAATTACCCTCTCCCGGATCGCCGACGATTAATCAGCCGCTACATCTGTTATATGCCGATGTTTTTCCTTCGCTAGGCCCCCCCCCCCTTCCTTACTTTTTTCATTTTCATTTTTCATTGTACGGCGGATATACGTGCAAGAAGGTGTACGTAGCTCAATTGAAATGTATCACCGTGGGGGAGTCTGATTGATATACATCGTTGTAACGATGCTTTGAAAGGTGACGAAAGTCTCTCTGAGTGTGTACCTATATGTAATTTTTGGGACCACATGATGATCTGTATGGTGATTATGGCCAATCGATATTGATGCACGGGAAAAATTAAAAATACGTATATGTACGTGTTCATAGGGAGGGATGAGCGTCTTATGGAGGGATTGATTGCGAGTTGTGCGCGCGTCCGTGAATATAATCAAGGATACTTCTTCGTTCTCCTCCGCTTACTTTTTTTTAAACAAAACAACTGTACGCCTTGCGAGGCTTCTTGAACTCTTTTTTTTTTTTTTTTTTTTTTTTCACATCCCATCTGTACTTATTATGATTACTGTGGCCTTTTTTTTTTGTAGTCGAAGCTTTTTTCCAATTTCGCGATCATTAAAAGGTAAAGTGTACAAGATATCGTGAAAAATCGGTATCGATATTCGGACAGCTATATGGAGATAACATTTCGAAGCAATGATGTTTAATTGGAAATAAAATAAAAAAATTTGTATTTCTCTTTTACTGTTTATCATAGCTTTCTACTTTTATAAATTATAGATCTCGAAGTTAGACGCTGTAATTATTATTTTAGAATCGTAATTTTTTTTCATGATGGTTATTGGTTTTATCACAAATTGTTGGTCATATTATTGGTTGATAAGACAAAAATGGAAACGTAAATGATTTGTGCAATAAATAGTACTTGATTTGATTTCTTATCCAAATAATTGATGTCCAAAATTATCTCCTCATGATTTTTCACGGCTCAGTGCTTATTTTTCACTGTCAGATTGTCCAAAAGTGACCTCCTTCAGGTAAGAAACTACTAATAAATTTTGAAAATTTTGTCGTCATTTTAACATATTTTCAAAATTTAAATGCAAATATTATAAAGTTAAACAGCCAACACTCTCTTTTTGGCTGAAGAAACCGTTTTTTTTTCTTCTTTCAACTCACAAAAAAAAAAATCATTAAAAAGTGCCCTCGAGAACTGAGGGGGTACTTTACACTATTTTATGGTATGAAGGATTTTTTTTTTCCGAAAAAATTATAAAAAAAAACCCTGTGCGACATCTACACACACACTCCAGCGAAGTGCAACCCCGCACTGTAAAGCAGCAACTCCAATACCCCCATTCGAGGACGCGGACGACCAATCGGGACTTTGCACCCTAATCGGCTCGTTTATACCTCCCGACCAATCCCAGCCCCCAGCCAACCCCCTTTTTCGCGAAACGTATACACATACACATCCGCGCGCACGACTAATTTTCACGCTTTGCAGCCCTCCACCCTCTTTGGTATATATATATACACGCGGACGCTCCTATCTCAGCCTTCGGCGTCAACTACTATATAGAGGGGCTTACGATTATAGCGCGACAATTGTTATTGCCCGGATTTTCGTTCTATGTGTATAACCATCCGCGAATATACACGTGTATGGGTATACAGCTCGGAAAATATATGGCATGGAAAACCCGCCATTGTCGCTGGTGTGCGTTGTTTTGCGGTAAATAGAAACACGTTTGGTCAGTTTGGGTTAACTTTGTTTTTTTTTTTTTTTTTTTTTATTACGAGGGACATGTTTTTTTGCGAGGGTTAATCGAAATGAGATCATCATTGATTTTATTAGTTTTTGTTAGTAGGTGCCCTTGTGTAAGTTATACCGTGACTTCGGGGGTTGAGTTGGAATGTCACGTGAGATAATAAAATTAAAAAGAAATGGTCCCTGCCCTCTCAGATTACGAACAACTATCAAGTATCGAGAGAAAAAAAAATGTGTGAAAATTACTGCTTTAATGGTACCATCGTAACTCCGTGATCTAGAGTATTTTAACTAGTAGGGGGGCTTGGTTAAAAAAAATTTTATAGTAAGTTAACAAAGTATTACAATACTTCATTAATGTTTTTTTTGCGTATCAGAAATAACAGAAAATTTGATCGAATTAAAATAACGGACGAATCTATGGAATTTTTCCTAATTTTGCGGGGCGGGGGGCTAAAGCTGCTGCAGAGGTTCCTAATATGGAGTGGGGGGTAGCAAAGGGTCTTTAAGGATAGTAAGGGGACGTGGCCCACGTGGGGAGTAACGGAAAAAATAACGGAAAATTTTATTGGAAATTTTATGGATACATTAAAAATATTTATAGCCATTTAAACTAATTGTTATAACAAATTATAAAAAAAAATTTGTATCGTAAATGAACAGATAATACGGGGGATGTTGGAGCTGCTGCAGAGATCCCGAATATGGGATGGGGGTAGCGAAGGGTCTTTAAGGATAGTGAGGGGACGTGGCCCACGTGGGGAGTGACGGAAAAAATAATTTTCCGCCCTTGGGTGGTTTTGGGAGGCTGTTACTTCCTCGGGTGAAAAAGCAGTTTTCCGGAACTCGTTCGAAAAGTCTCCTTTACGAACCTCGTTACGTCCCTCGGCTCAGGCCGCAAACCTCTCGGTTCGCAAACAGAGACTTTTCAAACTCGTAGGAAAACTACTATTATAATTTATTGGAAATATTATGAATACATTGAAAATATTTAAAAAAATTTTAAAGAATACATAATATAAACTTTGTTTTTTTACGAATGTGTTAAACATTTAATAAGAAATTCAATGACTTAATTATATTAATAAAATATAAAAATTTGCAGAAATGCAATAATAAGGCAGTATCGTGGCTTTTAAAAAAGTTGTAAAAAAAAAAAAAAAAGTA